AACACGATGATGTAATAGATGACAGAATCTAATGCGTGCACACCGCGGTGATAGTAAAAGGTACAAGAATACCTGGATACTCTTCCATGACAATCTCGCTGGGACATTGATACTCTTTTCATCCTGCAAACGATAATTTTTGGATGAATTCAAGTGTTGACATTTGTCTTGAGCTTATAATTGTGCAACTGTGGCTGTTTTGTTTGTACACAAGTATCTCTATAGTACCTTCTCTTTGATAATAAAGCTTGCTTTGTACAGCATGGACACCTTTTCTCCAACTGAAAATAGTAATAACAAATATTCACAATACAAATACTCATTCTACATGATTTTTATAAAATATTGTTCAATCAGAATAACAAACGACAAAACACCAACTTCTAGCTTTATAAATCTCTTTTAATGAAAGCGGTTTCGGCACTTTGTCCTTCTTCAGAAAATAATTTTGGACTAAAATGATAGCGTTCTTTAAGCCATTTGTGTTCAAGCAATACTTATAAAGAGGATAATCTATTGTACCTTTTAGTCTGGGTACTTTATACACCAGTTTGTAGATATTCACTGATGGATAAGTTATCAAAACATCAGATCTCGGAACCACTGATGAACGATCAACATCAACATTCTTGGTATCATCTGCTATAATGACATCATGTGCGTCACATGGCGAACCCTTCTTGTGTGTGAYAGTCACRTTGTATTGAAATACAGGAGAGTCCCTCTCTTGATCAGAGATCTGATTAAACAAAATAATCCATGAATATCCTACAATTTATGCATTGCAGACTATGGACCCACTTGCTTTGATAAAGAAAGTAGATGACTTTCATAACAACTATAAGAACTAGTAAATGGAATTCTCAAAAACCTAGTGGCTTTTGAGGGGATTATGATGGAGACTGACAAGAAAAGATGTGTATTATGACCCCTATTAGATTGAAAATAATATTAAGAAGCTTTCCATTTACCTTGACTGATTTGATAATCTGTAACAATGGCTTACATAAAGGACCTATTATATTAAAACGACCAATCACAGTGGACTGTCCTCCAGTAAACACAACATCACTGATAACTACCAGGCTACGACCACTTAGTATCAAAGGTAGAGAAGCACTTTGAAACCTCAGTACTATTGTAATKCCCTGGTRTGACTGCAGTGGGGTGGGTGAGTTTTGAATGTATCCAAAATTAATTTCAAAGAAAGTTTCATTGATTTGTGTTATGTTTGGTGATGGGTTGGTTATGTTSAGAGTAGAGTTGACATCTGTTTTGATGGTAGTCTGGTTGATTAATACTTTTAGGACATYAATCARGTCAGATGYGCTGCGTCGAACACGAGGGCTAAACAAAAACAAAGTGAATARTTATGAGTCAGCTCCAAGCATGCATGTTTCAACACTAATAGTGTAAATTGGGCATCAACATGTAACTCTTATACAGAATTCTGACAAATGTCTTTTAGGGGTTTCCCCTTTTGTTTTGCACCAAGGGAAAACCCCTGGAGCGTCACATTTAATAGTCATAACAACACATGTATAATATATATGACAAGTACATGACAAATGCATGTAATTAAGTAAATATAAATATATTGCCACTGATTGAATAAAATAATATTCCAATGAACAAACCTTGAATTCATCAAACTTCTTCTCTTCCTGGCAAAAGGAGTTCCCTTTATAGATACAACAGGTAGTTTAACCACCAGTGCCAGCTTTGTTAAACACTCTGGTATGCGTAGCTTTATGGTAAAACTCAAATCTTGTCCAGCAAGCATTCTTTCTGCATTGTTGCTTGCTGTAACATTGGTTATTATTCTGGCAACAAGTGTCTTTGCTTGTGCTGTAAAGTTGTAATTAACTGAGCCAGCAGGTCTTGATGAAGTGGTACTATAGTAGACATAGCGAATGACAGGACTAACATCTTCTTCTGGAACAACATCTGCTACAACATATCCTGTGATATTACAGTAGAATTGATCTTTGAAAGATARAGTTCCCACATTAAGAGTTGCTTTATTTGAGGTGTTGCTCATGGATTTGATTCCTCTATTACAAGTCAGATTCTTCTTGATCAAGGACTTGAAGTCAAAGCTTAGGTTTACATCATATGCTGAATGTTTATCGTCGCCCACACCAGTGTTGATAACAAWTGCCTTGAAATGAACCTTGTCGCCTGCATCTACTACTCTTGGTGTTGATGTATAGTTGATAAGGATATATGGCTCAGGACGAAAGGTTAAGAATGACTCCTAGAGAACAAAGATTAATAAAGATCAATAAACCAAAAAATACTAAATCAATCAAAGAAGCACAAAAATCAACCAAATAATAAATCAAGATAAGAAAACAAACAAAAAAACAATCAATAAATTAACTAACCACTTAATGACATACCTAATATTAACCAACATACCAAAACACCAACACCACACAGCCAACCAATCATCCAACCATCCAACATACAAATCAACCAATCAATCAAACAAACAAACAACCAACATACACATAATCAACATATCAATCAACCAGTGTACAAATTAACTCATCAATCAGCCAATCAGTCAACCAACACATCAAACTTAGAAGTKTATTAAGGATTCAGAAAGTCCTAATATAAGTATCTTACTGAGTTCAAGTTGTAGGTAAATAGCTGACCAGTCCTTGGTGCATGGCTGAGTGGTAAGATGGTGTAGCTAAGATATATTGGTAGACTAACATACAGACTTGTTGGTAAGTTACTTGTAGTTCTTGCTTTTAATGTAATGGTGACAGAAGTATTGAGATGAAACTCATCAGCTTCAAACACCAAAACCTGATTACGAGTATCATTGTACCTGTGAGAGATTGAATAATTATAAAATAAAAGAGAAATTGTTGAAGACCTGCAAACTATAGCTGCCATCTTTGTGTGCGTTGTTGGTGTTTTGTCACTTATGCCTGAGTGAATTCTTTAATTGTTGCTGTTGTTTATGTTGTTGTTGATTCTTGTGCTGTTGTTGTTGTTTCCATTGTTTCTGTTATTGTTGCTGATAGAT